TTGTTAGCCATCTGAATGTCGTCTTCGGTGAAGTGCCTGTTCATATCCTGTGCCCATTTTTCTATTGGATTATTTACCTTTATCTTGTTGTGGCACATCCTCTTCTAAACCCATCCTGCACTTCTCATAGTTCTCTGTTGATTCCAGCCATTTTTGGATAATTTTCAGCAGGAAAAGTATTATTTAAAATTATTATTTGCTCTCCAAATTTGCAAGTGCTGTTCTCAAAAAACGGTAGTACAGATATTGAGCTCACCCTTGCTGTCCTAAATTCCACTATCACCTTGAAAGTCCTGACTTCAAATTTACTACCCTTAAGAGGCCATTCTGGAGAGCTCTGGTGGCATAGTGGCAAGAAGCTGCACTGCAATCCCAGAGGTGAGCAGTTTGAATTCACCAGATGCTCTGCTGGAGAAGGAGGGACAATCTCCTCCTATGCCAGTCAGATCTGATTTGATGGCATACACACACACACACACACACACACACACACACTCAAAAAAAATTAAAAATATTTTTTTAAAAAGAGGCCTTTCTGCATGGGGTGTGGGGGTGCTTACTCAATAAGCGAAGTAAGTACAGGGAGCTCTGTGCTAGTGTGCTGCTAGCCCAAAGGCAGGCAGTTCCAATCCACCATTTGCTCTTTGGGAAAGCCAGAAATCTGCTTCCATCCATCTGATTTACAGACTCTGAAAATCCACTGAGCTACACGCCATAACACAAGTGCAATTTAACATGTTGCTGTTGTTGTTATGTGCCGTCAAGTCGCCTGCGACTCATAGCAACCCTATGTACAATGGCCATAAACTCTCCTCTGTCCTGTGCCAATCGCAGTCTCTGACACTCCCATCCCGATTATCCCAGTCACTGAATCAATCCACCTGATAGAGGGCCTTCTTCTCCTGCATTGTCCCTCCACCCTCACAAGCATCATGTCCTCCAAGGACCGGTCTCTCCTCACAACATGTCCAAAGTATGTTAGACGGAGCTTCAGAATCTTTGCCTCCAAGGAGCCACCCGGTTTAACCCTTTCCAGGACAAATCTGTTTGTTTTCCTAGCAGTCCATGGTACTCTCAATACTCTTCTCCAGCACCACAGCTCAAAGGCATCAATTCTCCTTCTATCCTCCTTGGTCATTGTCCAACTCTCTCATGCATAACAAGTGATTGTGAAGATCATAGCCTGTATCAAACACACCATAGTCTCCAGAGAGACACCACTGCTCTTCAGTACTTTGGAGAGGTCCCTAACAGCAAACTCCCATGGCAATGCGCCTTTTAATTTCCTGGCTACTGGTGCCAAGAGTGTTGACTGTGGAGCCAAGCAAGCTAAAGCTGTGAACAATCTCAATCTCTTCACCATCCATCCTGATGCTGTCAATTGGTCCAGTGGTGAGAATCTTTGACTTCTTGACATTGAGCCTCAATCCATATTGGAGGTTGCAGTCCTTTGCCCTCTGCAGTAGGTGCGTCAGGTCCTCCTCAGTTTCAGCAAGCAGGGTAGTGTCATCTGTATAACGCAGATTGTTGATAAATCGTCCACCAATCTTGACCCCACATTTCTCCTCATAGAGCCCAGCCTCCCGGATAATCTGTTCTGCATATAGGTTAAAAAGGTATGGAGATAGGATGCATCCCTGGCATACGACCTTCCCAATTTTGAACCATGCAGTGTTCCCTTGCTTTGTTCTGATGACTGCCTCCTGGTCCAAGTATAGGTTTCTCATTAGCATGATCAAGTGTTTTGGGATTCCCATTCTTCTCAGAGTCAGCCACAGTTTGTTATGGTCCACACAGTCAAATGCTTTTGCATAGTCAATGAAACACAGATAGACATTCCTCTGGTATTTCCTGCTTTCAGCTAAGATCCATCTTAACATCAGCTACAATATCCCTAATACCACACGACCCCTTCTAAACCCAGCCTGGACTCTGGAAATTCTATGCTGATGTGCTGTTCCAGTCGTTTTTGGATAATCTTCAGCAGAATCTTGCTTGAATGTGAAATCAATGAGATTGTCCTAAAGCTTCCACACTCTGTTGAGTCACCTTTCTTTGGGATGGGAACAAATATAGATCTCTTCCAGCCAGTTGGCCAAGTGGTTGTTCTCCAAATTTCTTGACACATCTTGGTGAGCACGTCCAGGGTAACATCTGTTAGCTGAAATATGTCAATTGGTATATCATCTATTCCTGGAGCCTTATTTTTCGCCATTTCCTTCAAAGCAGCCTGAACTACTTCTTTCATCAGCATAGGCTCTTGCTCATGTTGTTTCATGAAATCCTTGTGTCTGCCAATTCCTTTCAATACAGTGATTCAGTATATTCTTTCCATCTTCTTTTAATACTTACTGGATCATTTAACATTCTTCCAAAAGCATCCTTGATTATAGCAACTCAAGGTTTGAATTTGGTTTTCAGTTCCT